CAGATTTTCAAATTTTGCCTCAATCAGGGTTGTCTTCGTTCCTATTATCAGGATATGATTTATAAAAGTTGCGGATGTATGGATCCACGATATCCAATTACACCGAACACATCTACATGTGAACTAGTACAAAGTAAGATTATGTACACTTGTTACTTATATCTCAGTCAAAAATCCTCGTCCTTGAGGGCCAAGTATTGATGATGCTATGGAGTTGAATGGAGACCCATCCGAGTGGGAATTGTGCAAGTGTCCCTTGCCTTGCAACAATCATCAGTACTCAGTGGAATGGCATCGCACAAAATCTCTGTCCATAATCAGTTAGTTTAATAAAGGCAATTTCCAAAGTACAAGAGATAGTCTGTGCCTCTAAATCCAGATTAATAACCCTATAATCCAGTCATATTTGTGCGGAGGGTTACCATCAGTTGATGGGGCTCACAGCTTTAGAGAGCTGCATAAAGAGATCATCCTTCTTCAATAATAAATCGATATTTTAGCCAATGCGTTGCTTGCAATATCCTGACGCAGACGACACATGCGAAGAAATTAACAAAGATAATGCTCTAATCACAGTAACCCTCCCTCCTAGAATACCAGGTTTTCACCGAAGTTCCTGACATGGATGTAAGAGCGGCATAATGGAGACTTGGACTCGCACAGATATTCATTTGCCTTATTTTAGATCAATGGTTTTATATCCAACTTGGGAGCACTGCTTGGTGTTCTTATGGGATTACGCATTCTTTCATTCATAGAGGTTGCTGTACTGTTCTCCATCTGATTGTGATTATTTGTTCGAAAAAGTAAAGACTCTGTGATCAACTAGACAAGCAAATTAATTCCTTTATTTAACAAGGTACTGTAAAGTGGAAACTATACATTTGAGCAAGCACTTATAACAAGGATAGCGTGAAACAAGATGCTATCGAATAAATACGAGCGAAACAACGAACACTCGCAAGATGTGGAAAAGGTGAACAGCAAGCCTCGTTTGCAGAAAATTTCGCTCGAATTAACAACAAGGCAACAGATTGGTTGAGAAAGCATGACAACGCACCACTAGGTTATTATCAAAGGCATAACAATTATGATACTAAATCAGAACTCCATATAGGTGATATACCCGATCCCTGACGAATAAGTGTAGAGTACCCTTGAACACTTTCAACAAAGACGATAATTTCATAAAATTTGGTGTAAACAGCGACGGGCAAGCCGATACGCGGTATAATATTATAAAATACTATAAGTGTATGAGCAATATCCTACATCAAGATGACTTCCGAGAACTGAGCGGGCTATGCATCGGAATGGATGTTGTATAGGAAATTATTCCGGTGACCGGGTTGCAGTCAGCAAATGGCCGTTCTCTCCAAGCCTCTTTGGTCCTGACTAGTTCTGCTTGTCCTCCTTCTTGTCACCCGTATCTTCTTCACTTTTCTCCTCCTCTTCAACGTTGCCTTCAGGAATGTTTGTGTTATGGAACTCAGTAAGCAAAATACGCTCAACCGGTTTTTGTTTGAAACAATCCAGTATGAATGACATGACTGAAAAATATGGTGAGAGTGATCTTGGTATAAGCAACGAAAGGGCAATTTCTTACGTTTCCCTAGTCTTCTTTCAATAGCAACATAGTGCTTGTACGCCAGAATCGGTGCAACAGGGTCCTTGACAAGAGACCTGAAGCAGATTTATTTGATAAGAATTACGGAACGTTTGGTAAATATTAGAAA